TTATCTCATACACCTGTTAAGATAACATTTTTAATTTTATTTGATCTATGCGCAATGTATGTAAGTAGATAAATGTCCTATCACAATCAAGAAATACGTTTTATCTGAATTTAAAATTCGCTGTAATTATTTACGGATAAATTTCATATACGTGTACGTCCACAGAGCTCGTTATATTTCATAACCTTCCACTTTTTCCTTCATATTCCTTCTTCCATTTATTCTATGAATGCTACATAAGGCTCTTTTAGTAGATGCTGCATTGCCTTTGCAATCACATACCACACGAAGTACCCGAGCATTACAAGCTAAAAGGTAGATGCAACGAGAATAAGGAAGCCAAGAGGAGCTTACGGGGGCAAATGTATACTCGTCGTAAATTTAGCACTTTGCTCGATCGGTAATCGTCGAGAGTCTCGGGAACTTGGGGGAAGCGCACATTGTCGGACATTGAACCAAGGTTTTTCGTTGTTTCGACGGGAGTAAATAAGCGAGCTCGTTTACTGAAAGTGCGCGCACCCAACGACAAGAGAAAAGTATTAAATATGACTAGTCCATAGAGACATTACATAACCGTCGGGCATTTATTGTATTTCCTTTGATATCGAGTTTCGTCTCAAGATTTATCTCGCTTAATTGAATGGTGGAATTGCGATGCGAGGAATAAAAGAAAAGAAAAATGAGAACACGTGTCATTGAGCTTGCTTCTCTAATATTTTATGCTTGAAATCATCTGCGCGTGAAAAAGTTAGTCGTTTGAATGGCAGACTGTGCATGCGTTTGTGAAATAAGCTGAAATAAAGTGGAGCACTTATGTAAGTCCCTCTTGACTATTAGATGCATCACTAGCACATTGTAATGCGAATTTCTTCGGTCGGAGTGTGCGTTTACGTAAGGATGTGTCGATGCTAGTTCTAGAGAACTAGTTCTCCACGGTCTTCTCCAACGACTGTTGCATAAAAACAAAAAACAAAAATTCCCTCCTAACGTCGACAAGCTCAATGTAATGTGTAAAGGATTGTAATGTGAACGAACAATCACGTCGTTGCTGCGAGATTATGATGCAAATTCGTGACCTCGAAGCAACGAAAAGTCTTAAATTTTCGTTTGTCATTGGATCTCGGTAGATAAACCACCAGGACGAATAATGACCCTACCTGGTTATCAAATAGCACTGCTTCAGCTTCGGAAGCTCGTTGGCATCGAGCACTCATTTAATTGTCATTTCAAGCGGATATCCAATTTTTTCATAAAGATCATTGCGGAAGCTCGTGCCGTGCGGCGCCTCGCACGCAAAAAAAAAAGCCCATAAGAGAGGATCACTCTATATGCATTAGCAATCGGCCGTATCCATTACCCTGGTAACATGCTCATTTAAAATTCAAACGGCAGAATGGCCAAAACCTATGGTGGATCGTTCAGTTGGATCATCGTCCCCTAAGAGCGCCAATAGCGCGAGTCTCCGTCAATAAATAACGAGATACATCGGGACTCGTGGCTTTCGAATACTTATACGATCGAGAAATTTCCAATGCTACTTACTACGTAGATGTGCGTAGACTTGCTTTCACGTATTTGGAAAGCCTTTTTATGATTTCTATGGTTATTTCGAGTTTCATTGACATAAGATTCGAGAACATTTTTAAGGTAGGTTGAACTTGATATTGCACGGCGAAATGAATTACGCATTAACATTAACGAACGACCAATCGTATTATACCAATCGTAAATATAAGATAATCATTTTTAGTAGGAAAAAAAAACACAACAGCTAAATGTGAAAATTCTTGTTTTGATAGAATTCATAGAACCTCGAAGAAGGAATAAAAAACACTCTTTTATACGCTACAATTGACAGATGAAAATTGTGTTAATCTAAAGATCTTTTCACTTTTTACACGATTACGTGTAAAAGCTTTTAAACTAATAAAACGGCACATATGAGAGTCAATCTGCTTTTAGTTCTACAAATATTGACGATTTTTTCATGAAAATTCTCCTATATCTAGTGAAAATTTTGTGGCGATGCATTCGTAGATACCACTGATTACCGAGAACTATCGGAAGAAAAATATAATTCAACATAATATAATGTCAAATTCTTCGTCAATCGTTTATGGGATTAGAATTTTTAAGGAAAAAAAAATTACAAATGCGTTCTATAGTTAAAATCTCTACGACATGCTGTTTAAATTGAAAACACTATTAAAAAAAAATCTCTGTTATAATTTGTTACTCTATGGAGAAGAAAATATTTGGAGACAAAATTAAGGAGGAGAAAGATGAGACATTACCGCGAGAGGGGGGGGGTGTGTGTGGAGTGGAGAGGGGGGGAGTAAACGTGTGAAGAAAATACAATTAAAAAATCGAACGAAACATAAAATAAAGTACGTTGCGAATCAAAGAACATGGCCGGATGGATCGTAATCGTAAAGAGAATCGTTAGAGAGCGAAAAAAGAAGTCTGATTCTCGTAATTTTTCGCAAATTCGTAATAACATATTACGATGTCGTTTAACGTAATGTACTTTTTACTAGTTTTAAATTAACGACAACGCAAAGCAGCCACGAATTTTGTGAAAATTCTTATAGTTCGAAATTTTATTTTTGTCTCGATTTCGCGCGGAATCTGCCCCCCCCCCCTCCCAACCCCCACCCCCAGCCAACCCAGCAATCTACTCATCCTCACATCGCGTGTGAAAAACCGAAAATGTCCCACAATGCGCTTGACCATTTAAAACACCAATGGTGCTACATCACATTTATTAAAAAAAAGTAACTCTCAAACTGGATTTTAGCATGGCAATTATTACCTTATGCTCTTTCTGTCTCAGCAACACATACTACGTACGTAGTCCAGGAGCCCAGAAGTGTACAGCAATTCGCGTGGCCCCTCGACTGCTCGTCCCACAAAAAGTCTGACACTGTTTTTCTTTTTCTACTTTCCTGTGTGTGTGTCTCTCTCTCTCTCTCTCTCTCTCTCTCTCTCTCTCTCTCTCTCTCTCATCCTCTCTTTATCTATCTCGATGCGTTCAACTCTTCTTTTATAACTTATTTTTGTTTGTTCTTCTTTTACTCAGCATCGACTTCTTTTTCTGCAGCTCTCGTTTAATGGGCTCGTAAAATTGTAATTTGTTCGTCCGTTACTTTATAAACCACTTTATTTGCAAAAAATACATAGTTTAAGAATAAAATAAATAAAACATTCGAATCAAAATAATCAAGTTATATTATCGACTATCTCGTTGAAATTACTTGGGCTTGTTACATTGTTAATGTCAGCGTTTCGGGCTAAAGAAGAAATAATTAAAAATTTCATTTGTATACTTTTATTGACGGACCGTGAATGCAATGAGTAATGAAACAAATTGATGAAAAAGATTTAAAGAGAAAATAATTGGTCACGCTTAGACATAAGTTTGCCTACGTTTCTATACACATCGCAAATTCAAATATCTGTTGCTTTAATAGATTAATCATAGTGTAAGTAAAACAAGCATAAGAGTATTTTCAAATAATGACCAAACTTATTATTTAATTAAAAGTGTTCCATTAGTACGTATGAGTATTAGGAGCTCATACGCAATCCAAGTTGACGTTTCATTAAAGTAGAGCAGAAGTACGAACACACGCACGCACGCACACCCATAATATTATCAATCTAAAACTCAATATCACTAACTTATTTATTTATGATTCGTTAATTAATTTTGTAAATTATAACGCTATGCAATTCAATACATATATATATATATATATATATATATATATATATATATATTTACTTTAACCACCAACGTACTTGCAAAGAAAATTTGAAAATAAAAAAAATTTGATCATATAATTTAATCAAAGCTTTAGTCTTCAAGTATTGAAAGCATTTAATGGATCCCACGTCACTAAGGAAATACTAAACGCCCTTTTTTTTATGCCTTATTTATTCATTCGATTGTTCCACATAACCAACTATAATAAACATACTTGATGCTCGATCCAATATATCATTCCGATCATTCTCATAAGTAATTAATATAAATTGACTCATAAAAAGCATGATTTTAAAATTTATTCGTTTCGCAGCACGACAGGAGCAAGTAATAAATTAGCTTTTTGCATAATTTTATGTTTACCGAATTCATCCGGTTTAAATGAAGATATCGATATATTTCATATCGCGACCGCTGGCCATTAACACTGAATTAATAAAGGCCAGACTCTGAAATGAAATCATGCTTTTTTTGTTTTTCTTTTCCCCCTTATAAATTTCTTACACTCTGGAAATTTCCTTCATCCCAATCGCTGCCGCCGCTTCCCCCTCCCCCTCACTCACTCTCTCTCTCTCTCTCTCTCTCTCTCTCTCTCTCGCGTCTATTCAGGCTGCGGAATTGTTCCTCGATTACCTCCGCGACCCCTCTCCACCCTCGATCGCCGCTCCGCCTCTTTCAGAGCGCCAATGTTTTTCCCATCTCCGCTCTCTATTTTTCTTGATGTGCCCTCTCCATTTAGACCTCCCGTGCTCGGATGCAACTTTGAAAAAGTGCGACCGCGCCATCGAATGCCGATGGCCGAGTGGCGTCTAGTATATCGAGAAAGTCGACGAGTCGATGACTTCGTGCTTCGAATAGCATTTGGCAGAGTTGCCCGTGCACCGACAATTATTATCGACTTAGGGACTTTTTCTGCCAAGGTTTTTCGCGAGCGAACTTCTGCCAATCCGCCGATGCTACCAAACATTTCTCCCTTCGGCTGGTAGCCCGAGGGCGTGTTTTTCCCACGCGCCGCCTTACTTTCATTAAAAGCCAAACCTGTACCTTGGATTTTACATTGGATGCTCGGCGAAAGTAATCGTTCTGAAATTGCTTTAATCGCTCGCTCGCGTTGGTTGATTGAGCGGCGAAGGTAGCGATTGATTGTAATAAAGTGCAAGCATCGTTCGTCATTGCTAATCAACCTTTCGTTTCACTTGGCCCTTAAGAACTCGCATACGGGCATTAATATTCAGCATAATCGGCTTCTCGCCACTTACCTGAAACAGAAAATGTTATTTTCATTAAAACTTTATAAACACTGTTGATCGTACTGTGACATTACATTTGACACGAATGAGGGCATTAAAATACGAAGTAAAGTGTCAATATTCAATGAACATTCGACCATTCATCCGTCAAATGAGAAGGGAAAAGGGAAAATAGTAAAAACAATGATTTAATAACATTTAAGGAGTGTTTGCGTATACGAAATGAAAATGGATAAGGACCGGCTGTATGTGGAAGGATAAAGCGTATCGCTTCGGTAAGGACGACATGGGGAATAATCCTCTTAACATCGATTCAATTCTTTCTTTTTTTTTTTTTTTTTTTTTTTTTTTTTCTCGCGCATGAATAAAAACAACGCTAAGTCACACGTTACGTGAACCAGTTTATTCAACATTCTCTATTAATAAATAATTTTGCCTCTATATAGGCGATAATTGTGCCGATGGCAAATTTCTTCAATTTCTTCCCTAAACAAGTAGTTTTGCCGCTCATTATAATCAGATAAGTCAGTGCATAATATTGTTAAATGTTCAAACTGTACTAATACACGGGATAAGTGAGCAGCTGTTAATCTAAGCCTGATTAAGTAAAGGTTTGTTGGAATAGTGGAAATGGAACTCGATTCCGACCAACATGCCAAATAACACTATGTGATTGGAGATAGAAATAAAAATTTGTGTTTAAATATTCCCTCCCTCGGAAGTGACGTCGATAAAAAATTAGAAAAACGCGGGAATTGTGTGAGGTTGTGCTTAAGCAGAGTTCGTTAAGAAATCGTTAATATTGACGCTCCTAAATTTTGCTTTCCTCGTTAAAAGGTAAGAAACGTCTACTCTCGCCATTATCTTATTTTACGGCACACATTTTTCTCCTTTTTATTCTCAACTTTCATCAATCCAGTCCTTTTTGCCTTATCTTCCGCTCCATCCTGACCGTCGCTCTCACGTACGTAGATTTGTCTCCGAAGTCTTCCCTCGCAGCCCCTTTCGAATATTTATACAAACAGGCTCCCACGAGAGAATGAGAGGCCACAGAACGAGAGGGAGGGAGGGAGGGAGTTTGAGAGTGAGAGAGATACACAGACAAACAGACAGACAGACAGATAGACAGACAGACAGACAAGGATAAAACTATTCCGATATTCAGTGGGATAAACATGCGATACGATGCCATCGTCGTATCGTGCCCACACATTCGAGCTTTTTATCTCTCCTTTTCATCCTCTTTCTCTCCCTCTGTCTCTCCCCATTCTTTAATTCACTCTCACGTAGCAGCAACAGTAGTAGTAGTAGTAGTAGTAGTAGTAGTAGTAGTAGTAGTAGTAGTAGTAGTAGTAGTAGTAGTAGTAGTAGTAGTAGTAGTAGTAGTAGTAGTAGTAGTAGTAGTAGTAGTAGTAGTAGTAGTAGTAGTAGTAGTAGTAGTAGTAGTAGTAGTAGTAGTAGTAGTAGTAGTAGTAGTAGTAGTAGTAGTAGTAGTAGTAGTAGTAGTAGTAGTAGTAGTAGTAGTAGTAGTAGTAGTAGTAGTAGTAGTAGTAGTAGTAGTAGTAGTAGTAGTAGTAGTAGTAGTAGTAGTAGTAGTAGTAGTATTAGTAGTAGAAGCAGCAGCAGCAGCAGCAACAGCAACATAGCCATGGAAAATCTATGTGTTCTCGTATACAAGAGCGCTAGTACTAGCAACAACAGCAGCGGCAAACGTATAAATACATAAATAAACGAGCTTACTCGGGATACTGGCGCTGCTGCTGATGCCGTTGCTGCCATTGCTGATGCTGTAGCTCTTGCTACCTCACCCTCCTCATCCTCGTCCTCGCGTTCTCTCCCATTGCGCAGACACCCGCTACATACAATTCACGACGGAATCTCGCCCCGGGGATGGATTTCGCACTACTCGCCGTTTCGCTTTAAACCGCGTTAGCCTCTAGTTACACGGCGCCACGGACGTGAAATAAATGGCCAGTGAGAATAAAGCGGCGCCCTTCTAACTAAGATAGGACGTGGATTCGGGCGGTTAAGGGAATGGGGCAGGGTGGGTGAGGGAGATGGGTTGAGGGGAGAGAGGGAAGTGGTGAGGAAATATTAAAAATGCTTTCTCGCGCAGCTTGAGTATCCGTTATACGTGCGATAGAACACAAGTTTTTCAGCGCGATGACGCACCGCCGATATAATACGAGCATATCGACGTTGTTAATGACTATTAATTTACTATCGATGGACAAGTAACGCCTTCGTAAACAAGTAGAGCCATATTTTATATGTTATATTACAGCCTGTAATATTTTAAGGGCAAAGACACGGGGAGTAATGAGCTATAGATTCACGCTTCATTGGATAAAATTAAAAAGTTTTGACGGAAATTTTACACTCGCTTGCCTATTCGTATAAACTTGAAACGGGCATTTAGCATTCTCGCTATTGGGTGATGCGGACGTTAGTAGGTAAAAAATTTTAAATAAAATCGCAGATCGCGGGGTCAAAATTAGAAATGAATGTGCTGAAAGCGTTTCCATTGAAAGTTTATGTAAAATTCCCGCGAAGAAGTAGCGATCGACTGGCTGATGCAGAACCTTCGGCGTAGTTGAACTTATAAACGATCCTTTGTAAGCAGAATAGAAGTGAAACCGCAGAAAGCTGAAACTTTGCTCGCTAACGCAGCGATGAAATGCCGGGAGTAGCTCGCGAACGAAATAATACAAAAGTAAACGAGCTACCGATCGTTTCAGGTGGTTACATCCGCGTAAACTTCTCCACATATACGCAGGCACACATACGTGCTGCATCTGCTGTCGCCGCGGTGAAGACCAAACACGAAAAGGCCAAGCGAATCCAAGCAGACGTAAGCGTGTGCTCGCTTATTTACACACATGCCCTCCCCTCCAAATACACACACATTCAACTGCTGGCACGCGTGAGCGAAGGCAAATGACGCGAGTTTCGAATACGGCAAACTGTATCTACCCACCCACCCCTTCCCTTTACCTCTCTCGCTTACTTTTCGTACTTTACCATGCACGGGTCGCGCATTTATTTTTCAATGGTGGAAGGAGGGGTGACGCTACGTAGCTCGCGCATTTGCTTTTAGGGGCACGCTGAACGCGCGAGATTTAGGTTGGCTTCTCTCGAGCTACTAAAAATGCACGGGAAAAATAAAGTTTTGCGTATATCTGCTGGGCGGGTGCGTGGGACGAGAAAATATACTCGTGATACTCTTCCTATGCCCGTATGCCCTGAGAGAATGTCTCCGTATTGCCGGGAGACGGTTCCTTTCGTTTTTAATAGAGTGGAGGATGAAACTTTCGTCAACACTCGTTCGAGATTTCTTCTTTCATTCTTTCATTCTTTCTTTCTTTCTTTCTTCCTTCCTTACATATTAACTTCCTTACTTACTTCCTTACTTACTTACTTACTTACTTACTTCCTTCTTTCCTTCCTTTCTTCCTTCCTTCCTTCCTTCCTTCCTTCCTTCCTTCCTTCCTTCCTTTCTTCCTTTCTTCATTCATTCTTTCCTTCATTCAATCCTTCCTTCATTCATTCCTTCATTCATTCCATACGAATGATACGAAATGTATGTTTGGATAGATGAGTGCGCTTCTCGCTCGGGCTTGCTTTTCCCTTCTTTTCCGTCTCACTTTGTTGAGTAATGTTGAAAAGTTTCGTAATAGGCATAGTAAATTTTCAGTTCGGGCGTATAAGTGGCTCGAGTGTACGAGAGAAGTGTATAGTAAACGGGGGACAAGGTCAGGGGAAAATCTGGGAGGATATCAAACGAATGGTTGACATCACATATCATTCTAAAGTATTTTTGCAAATTGGTTGTCCACAATAATCGCTACCCCGAATGCTCAAGAATAATCAAATGTCCTGCGCAGGAAAAGCAATTTAATAGTTTACTATCATTTTACTATCTTTATATATTTTATACCTTTTACTATCATTTCTATTATTACGACTCTTTCAAAATTTTTAATAAAATAGGATTATCGAGTCTAGTATGAATATATATATATATATATATATATATATATATATCGATGCAAGTTAATTTATTAGACGATATAAAGTGAGCGAATATCTGCCTCTGCGCCAAAATCCCTATCGAACCCCGCTCCATGCAAATTAAAATCACGCCAAGTTAAGAGCCTCCTGTTTACATTAGAAATTGAGAAAGAAAAATAGAGCTTTCAATGTCTCGTCTGTATTTCCATTTCAACCCTCCTCGCCACTCCCCTGGATTCTCCCACATTTCGCATTACAGCTTTTCAAGAATTTCATCGGGAAAAATGCCTCTTGCGTCGCGTGCGCGCGACTTGTACGAGCTCGACAATATTGCCAACAGAATGCGAGAGCACGACAGCCGAGAGCCTCAGCCTATGGCAAGAGCAAAGTTTCGAATTTTCTTGTCGAAATCCTTTGACATTTTTAGTCGGTTATTTATTCCGAAAGTTAGATTCCCCGCGCATGCCACCGGCTTACCTGTAATATTTGAATTTATAATTTTGTCTACATTAAACATTTCCTCCTTTATCAGGCTGCACGGCCTCCCGGTCACAAAGGACTTTGAAGTTGTCGCGGCATGTACGAGCACTTTTCCAAGAATTTTCCAGTGGGATAAAAAGGTCGCGTTACACACAGGGTTCTTGCGTTTGAATGTGTGCGCGGGATGCAGCCAATGCAAAAATCCGGGCCCTAGTGCATCGAAACGTAGGGGAGAGATTTTAAAATTCAAACTTTTCCCAACCGATTCTGTCTCGCTTGAATAAATTTTGGTAAAATAAGATTTCATTCGTCCGATTAGCATAAATGAGGGTCCTTATTTTTATGAAAATTTTTTTTTTTTCATTTTTCTTTCCATTGATTTGCAATTTGCTACACACATGGTGGATACTACTAAGTACTTCGACATGCAATGAAAAAACACTTAATAATTGACGAAATCGAGGCTATGAATCTTTGTATATCAATGCTCTTGGGAACGATACTACCATCTGCGATAT